AGAATGAATCTGAAATGAGAGAAAGATATTTGCACCGTTTCAATTAAGGAATGAAGCATATTCTTGTACATTAATTTCAAGGACAAAATTTTTATAAGGACGATTGAATTTAATAATAGCCTGTTAAAGTTACAATTAAATTAACTATATAAAAAAAGAAAAAAAAATGAAAATGATCTTATTGTTGAGACAATTGTGACCTGTGTGAAATAGAGTGTCATTTAATCTTTTCTCCCACCGCCCCCAGTAAAAGGTAAGAGATTTTATCCTCTCCTTCAGTTGATTCGAACCCAGTGAGAGAAAGTCAGAGAAAGCGAGAGAAAGCGAGCATGAGAAAGAGAGAGAGAGAAATCAAAGAAGCTGAAGAAGATGAAGAGGAGAGGAAGAAGATAGGAGGAGACAAGCAGCTCACTTGATGCATATGTTTCCTTCTAGTCTCACGATCGAACGAGCACAATAGAAGCTCAAAAGGCTCGCTAGAATCCTTTTGTGGGCAGAGATGCACAGCTCCAAGCATCTCGACAATTCTAAGGCCCCATGCAAGCGTGAAAGACCAAAAGGGAAGAAAGCGAGCCTTCCTCGTGTACATTTCTTGCGTGAGAGAGGATACAAGATCAAAGCTTTCTGTGTCCCAACTGAGCAGAAGAGAAGAAGAGAGGAGGCAAGTAGCTCACACAAACCCTGCTGCATTTTTGATCAAATGTCAAGAAAGGGAGCCGAACGGCTTTACCTTGTTTTCGCAAATCTTTGTACTTAATAGATGCATGACTGAGAGCTCTAGGAGAAGGAACAGCTCATGGAAATTTCTTCGTGCATGAGGTACTCGAATGAGCTATAACTTCCCAAATGTTGTGATTTATCATGTGTGAGCCCTTGGAAATCTATGTTGTCAGTTTTTAATATACCAACTTCCAATTGAAGTTTGAAATTCTGAGAGAAATGTCCATACCCATCTTACAATAATAAAACAAACAAAATTTGAAAAAACTTCCTCCGAATATGAAGCACTACTCTTCTCCACAAGCTGCAGAAAAACTGGTACTTTCGTGGGGGTATTCTCTGCTGAAAACAATAAATGTAAAATATTTTGGCTAATATGGCCTGGAAATTTTCTGACAACAGGATTTCAAGTACAGTACGTACTCAGTAAAACATAACCAAATTCATCAAAAAATGCAAACTTCAAAAAAATTAACCGTTGTAATGAACTTTTCAGAACACACCTTAAATCTTGAAGCGACAGAAGAAAATTTATATGATGATCTTAAAGCATCCTCCGAAAATGACGCAAAAAGCCCAGAAATTAAATGACATTTGGAGGAAGAAAGCAAACTGCGATGTTCCGCAACAACATAGTCTCGATTTTTATCTAAAAATGTATCTGTTTGATAAGTAACCTGAAAAATCAGAAAGCAGGCGTTAAAGATATGGCATACTATCAAAACTTATACTGGTATCTTGATGGCAAAGGAAAAAATTGAATCACTTGACATACCTTTCCAGCATAATGGGAAACAGTAAAATATGTCTCTGAAAATTTTGGTTTTTCCAATCTTGAATGATTACGGAAGCTTTGAAAAAGCTTTGTTGTAAATGACTCATTTGTTGATTTAGGAAACATACTGAGAATCAGAAATTTCAGTGCATTACTGATTATGTGACCATCATTTCTAAATCATGAACTTCAAGATACAGAAAAATATGCTTACCAAGCTTCGTCCAGAAGAGAGATTATACCCAATGGCTTCTGCAAGAAAATAAATAAATAAATAAATAAATAGATAGATAGATATATGTATATATGTATGTATGTATTTATATACATAGATACATACATACATATATGCATAGATATATATATACATAGATACATATATACAATTAAATACATATATACATATATGAGAAGTACAAAGCCATACTAGAAGATCTTTAAGGAACCAGCCTAGAGTACAAACAACAACAACAACAACAACAAAGCCTTAATCCCACTACGTGGGGTCGGCCACATGAATCCTTTTTCTCCATACACGAGAGTACAAAAAAAAAAAAAAAAAAACATGCTCCTGATATTGAATAAGTAAATAAAAAAGAATCTCACAAAAGGAGCAATTTCATTTAATGTAGATGACCTTCTTGTAGCTTGACTAAACTAGGAATAATGCAATACATAATTGAGATCATTGTAAATAGTTAACTCGCAAAGAAACCCAAAAAAAAGAAAAAAAAAAAGGGAACGGACAAATAAAATTGACAAAAAAACAATGCAAAGACAAAATTGAAATAGTCAAACAAACCCAAAGCCCGGCGAAATTTACAAATCCTGCCATTATGAGTGTCTCAAACCAGCACTTCAGCCAACCACTTCAATTTTTAAAGTATATTTCCTACGAGTGAGCAAGAGCAACTGAAATCCACAATCAGCTCTAAAAAACAGAACATATTTCTTCTAGTTTCTCAAAAGTACACATAAAAAAAGTACAATTCACATTCAAGAATTATTTGCCTAAATCTTGGAAATAATTGAAGTACTGGCGAGAATAATATAGAATATTGAAAAAGACAAGGGTGAAAACAATTGATCCCAAAATTTAGTAAGCCTACAACCAAATTCCCAAGCTTCCCCTGCAACTCTCCCATTTTCAAGGCATTATGAAGGGGAATGAACGTCAAACTTACGGACAAGAGTAAACACTTCATAACTGAGAAGAAAATTTTGAGTGCCAAGTTTACTGCAGAAAAAATGTAGAAAGAAAGGGAGAGATAAAACAGATGAAGGATGTATCACCATCTTTGCTTTTTGGGAAAAGTTAACAAGATTATTTTGAAAACAGCAAAGTATCTCTAGAATCAGACGTGTGAAAGACAGAATATAATATGAAAATGACTTAATAAGAAAAAAAAAACATAAGAAACAGAAGCAAATCAATTCAAATCAAACAAAATGGGAGAATAAAAAACCATTTTTGAAAAACATAAATATATTCGCCCTGATCCAATTTCCACCGCTCAAATCGGGATCTCCTTCAACTAATATTAAGGGTATCAAGCAAGACTTTCTATAGCACATTTCTTATTTCTCAAAGATTCCACATGCCCAATCCTCTCTAGCCTCTTCTTCCTTTCTCATCACATCAACCATTGCAAGATCCAATACACCTTATCAATAATGTCATGGTCATCTCCTCTCTCTCTCACATTCCACCTCTCAACTAAGACCTACCCTACAATAGCCATATCCTAGCAAGCCACCACCTATCCCTGCCATTCCAACACCATTATCTGACCATGATGCTACCTTTTTCCGTCCGAGTCCTCTTCATTCCTCTCCGCAGCCCAGCCCCATCTTCCTTGCTGCCAAAGCCCAAGGCAGTCAGCCTTCTCGCTGTTCGGGCAATGTCTCGCCATCCCTTTGCTAGCACCAGCATCCCCTTGCTGCCATCCTACAATCCCACTCTCTAAAAACCTTTTTGCTACCTTCCTGGAGGCCCAAACCATCACCGATCATCACCGTCAACCCTAGATCCATGCTAGTGTGAGTTCGTGTTGTGTATGTTCTTAATTTCTATTTATGTGTGTTCGTTGTAATAGCCCATTGATTTTCTAGTAATAATATATGTTTGCTTATTGTTGTTTGGGTTAACTCAGATATCATTTGGTATCAGAGCTAGTTTAATCCTACTCCTAACCTAGAGCTACATCAATCCCCCACTACCTAACCCAACATTTTTCCTTGCCCACCCTACATTTCCATCTACCCAAACTCAAACCCTAATCAAGCCATAGAGGAGACAATTGTTGGAAGTTGATCAAAAAGTTTAACATGGAAAAGAAACAGCAAGAATTAAACCGAGTGCTACAAAAACCCATTGATATTGAGGAAAGGACCTCGCAAGAGGGCATGATAACGAGATCCGACAAGAAGAGAGAGGAGCACATAAATCCTTTCCATAGGGATGGTTCCAGTAGAAAAGAAGAAAGGCCACGTTGCTTTGGGATTTATATCAAAGGAGACTGAAGAATGAAGTGTCTATTGAAGGAAACAAGGATATAAAGACTCTGGAGTAAAAGTGAACCTACTGAATTTCGAAGGGAGAATGATTTTAGATGACTTCATAGATTGGTTGTTGGTCATCCAAAAGATTTTTTAATACAAGGATGTGTCAGATGAATAGAAAGTGAAGCTTGTTGCTATCAAGCTGAATAAGAAAATCTCGTTATGGCGGGAGAATTTGAAGAGGGAGAGAAATAGAGAAAGACAGAGCAAGTTTACTACCTGGAAGAAGATGGAAAGAGAGTTGCAGCCACAGTAACTACTCCCATACTACTGTCAAGATCTTCTCTTGAGACTCCATTTATAGCAAAGGCACCTATCAGTGGAGTACAATATGAAGTTTATACAACTTTAGCTAAAATGTGATTTGATGAAGTCAAAAGAGCACACGATAGTTGGGTACTTGGAAGGCATGAAGCTCATCATTGGCAAAGTGGTTTAGCTAAAGCATTACTGGTCATTGGGTAACATTCAAACCTTAAATCTAAAGGTCGAGAAACAACATAAGCAAAGCAGGCAACCACCGTCATTCAGACACCACCCATAATTGGAGACGTCAGTAGAAGCACTCCTAAGGTAGTTGAGAAGACTGACTAGGAGAATGATAGAACTTCTTAGAGTAAGAAATAGCCTAAGAAAAGTACCTCCCCCAATACAATCTCAACCAGAAAGTCTTTCAGATGTCACAGTTATAAACGCATCATTTTCAGTTGTCCGACAAGTCGAGTTGTGACCTTCACCTTGCAGGGTGCAGTAGAAGAAGTGAACAATGAAGAGGCTGCTGAGAACAAGGAGTACCAGCTCCATTATATGAAGGTAAAATACTTGAGATTTAATGAGTCCTTCAGATTGAGACTATGGGGAAGGAGTATTGGCTTCGCCACAACACATTTCACATCTATTGCATAGTGAAGTTATAGGTAATGCAACCTCATCATCGATGGAGGAAGTAGTAAGAATGTAGCGTCTACACATATGGTGGAG